TGCACACACATCCATACGCACACACATCCATACACACACAGATCATCGCAGCTAGTGCGGGTGCCGCGAAAGGAGTTCCATCACTGACGACTCACACACATCCATACACACACACATCATCGCAGCTGGTGCGGGTGCCGCGAAAGGAGTTCCATCACTGACGACTCACACACATCCATACACATACACATCCATACACACACAGATCATCGCAGCTAGTGCGGGTGCCGCGAAAGGAGTTCCATCACTAACGACTCACACACATCTATACACACACATCCATACGCACACACATCCATACACACACAGATCATCGCAGCTAGTGTGGGTGCCGCGAAAGGAGTTCCATCACTGACGACTCACACACATCCATACACACACAGAGCATCGCAGCTGGTGCGGGTGCCGCGAAAGGAGTTCCATCACTAACGACTCACACACATCTATACACACACATCCATACGCACACACATCCATACACACACAGATCATCGCAGCTGGTGCGGGTGCCGCGAAAGGAGTTCCATCACTGACGACTCACACACATCTATACACACACAGATCATCGCAGCTGGTGCGGGTGTGGCGAAAGGAGTTTCGCCACTGTCCATTCGCACACATGTGTACACACACATCATCGCAGATGGTACGGGTGTGGCGAAAGGAATTCCATCACTGCCGACTCACCCACATCTATACAGACGCACTTCTCTGTCGGAGTTGTAACTTCGATACGACATTTACATATACGCACGAGAAGAAAGTCTTTTTGATGCGTAGCTAACAAGGGTGTCTCCTATCAGTTTAAGTGGAATTTGCTCTGGAATATAGCAGCACTCCTACATGTATTGCGTGAAATGTCACCTGTGTATCGTTTATGAAAAGCTTTATTGCAGTTTTGGGAAATTGAAATCGATTTCCTGGAAATCGAAAAGTGCCCATTATGTCCATTATGCCCATTATTCTCATTACGCTCATTATGCCCATTATTCCCATTATGCCCATTACACCCCGCCCCCAGTAAAGTCGAAAGAAAGAACTTTCCTGGAAACTAATAGAACGCATCAAATGGAGAAATGTGAGAAAAAGTTACGGGCTTGTGACATACCAATTCGTTAGTTTAAAAAAATCTCAAAACTTTTAGAACGTTTCATAAGTAGATTTGTATGTCTTGAATATTTTTAAGAATAAAATATATGCTAATAATAGAAAGGATTAGTCCAATAAAACTGATGAAAAATTCAAACACATAACCAAACAGTCTCAATAAAGGGATCATAATTAGTTGATCGATTTTGGTGGTTCATTGGCGAACAGGTGTACGAGGTGAAAACACAAATCGTTCACTTGTTTGCGAACATAAGTGCAAAACGTATATTTTATTCTTGAAGTATATTCAACATGTAATTAATATGGTAGCTTTGCCTAATTATTATTATGTATTTTTTCCGAATAAATTATGTTGGATATATTCGCTATTACTTGTATTGCTCTTCAATTTTTTTCTTGATATATTTGAATAATTTTCATTTCGGAAGAAATGAATATTTTTTAGTAAAAATTGTATTGTTTGATCATGTATTGCGCAATAGAATATTGATTTTAATAAATTATTTATTGATAAGTCAATTAAAAATAACTTCGACAGGTTTATACGACGAAGCTGTAACGTCGTCAATATCGATCGACGAAGTTATAACTTCTTTGACCGGTATCTCTTCGATACGACATATATACGACATGCTCTGTGCAAAAAACATGATTTACCAAAATTCTTTGCTTAATATTATTCAAAATACCACTCAGGAGACAATTAATTGCTTACGAGTTCTTTATGCCACCGCAAAAAGAATAGAATAATTGAACTTCCACTATTCAATAATTAAATAATTGAATAGTTGAGGTAGATTTTCAATAATTAAATTCAACTTTCAAGTTTGACACTACTGTTACCTCCTATATCTCCTATACCTCCTATATCTCCTATATCTCCTATATCTCCTATATCTCCTATACCTCCTATACCTCCTATATCTCCTATATCTCCTATACCTCCTATACCTATCTATCTCTATACATCTTACCCTAGGACATAATCGAGTTTCCGGGGATACTCTCCGAAGACATGCAATCCGTTGATTGACTGTACTAAAACAAAAAGAACATTACTTTTCAAATCGTTCACTTCTCTAGTTTACAAGGCAATTTAAACTTCTAACATGATGCTGTGCTTTTATCTATGTTTAAGTGTACAAAACAACAGCGAATGTAGTAATAGTGGATTTGTTAAGACAATACACAATTATTTGACGCTGATCACTCGCTTGACAAAAACTTCTTTTCTAATGTCTTCACGATTTCCTAAGATTGAAATCAAATATTTCGATATGTTTCTGTAACTAGTCATGGTGGACAGTGATCGATGTAACTAACATTCTCCTGTATCACTAGAGTTGATCTATCATGATTAATATTTTAATCATACATCGGCTTCTTGGTGAACTTCTTTTTTAGAAGTATATGAATACTTGATACAATCGATAGCACTTAGTAGTATTCATTTTCATTCGAAACTACTTATTAGCCTTACGCAATTAGTTCTAACTATAGTGCCAGGGTTGCGCTCAGCAGGATAGCATAGTAATAATAAGTATGAATTTAGATACATTATAAGTGTTTTGCCTTGATCAGCAAATTGAACTTCGAGAGATGTCATTGTGCATCAATAGAGAAAAAGTGCTAGATAATTCTTGTAATTGAAATGCTTCATTTGGAGCCATCTTTTATTCCGTTAATGATTAGATTACTATAAATTTGGCGGAGCACACCAACTTTTGATAGGATTTGAGGCTTTGAAAAAAGTAAATGATTCTCGAAATATTAAGACATTGGATACTGCGTACGACATTTTCCGTATGCTTAAAATTTCATTTTCTGGAATTAACCCGTATTCTTTTTTTAAAAAATCGAATTAGTATCAATTTTCATTAAAAAAAAATCAAAACAGAACTTTAATTTTAGTCAGTTAAACAATTTTCCAGACTTCGAATCAAATAGATCCTATGGGGAAAACTTTTCAGAATTGGTTTTTAATTCTAGTGATTTCAATGCGTGCTTCAAAACTCGATTTAAAGAGGACTTTGGTCGTAAATTTGTTTTTTTTCTTGGTTTAACTCGATTCTAGCAGAATATCACAGAAGAAATCGATGAAATCATCTAATTGATGAAAAATTCCTCCATGAAAAATCATTCAATGTAACATAAAATGAATCTCGATAGAATATGCGATAACATTACGCCATTGATGACTGCAGATGTAAGACAGAAATATTACGCTGATAAAAGACCTGACAAAATACGAATATTTTCGTTGCTTGCGACTGACTTTGTTCAAGTCGTGATATTCGACTTCAGTGTTACAACTCTTAAAAGATGTTCAGTGAACTGAAGTCATAATAAAACGGAATATAAGATCGCCTGTTCTCAAGAATCAAACTTCACCTATTCTTCGATTTGGTCAAGCATTCCAGATCAGACAGACGTGAGAGTGAGTTTAATCTTAGTCTGATCGCATTTGCATGTTTTTTATATCCTTCCACATATATAATATTGATTCGAGATAAATGTCTTTAATATCATAATATCATATTCTTATTTGATTTCAAATTGAAGTACAAAAGGTTAGCATGTGTTGGAAGAACCGAATAAACATAGGCAACAACATCGACAGATAATGTCTTAACATTATTTCATCAAAGGACAGCAAGTACACGATGTAAGTGTAAGTATGTCTTCATTTCACTCGTAACTATACTCAGATTGATACATACGTCATAGCCACAGCAACATCTACATATTTTTTCCCCATAATATCTTAAACTTGTAGGATTAAACCTTTGAAAATTTCTGATCTCACTTTGCTTTCTTTTTATCATTATCAAATGTTGTATTAATTTATTTTTGGGGCTTCTTATTTGGCTTGAGATAAACTATTTTCAGTACTTCACTCTAACTGAAATACTAAATTATAGTTGCTTGTATGGCCATGCCTCTTTTTCTCACCTAAACCTCTATAATTTTGATAATTATTTTGAATTTATAAAATATATCGCCAACATAATAGTATAACAATAGTTTTAGTAGATAGCTATATCTAATAAACTCGCCAATGAAGATGAGAACATTATGATCTGATGAAATGACAAAATATAAAGAAAATCGTATATAGACTTACGTGTGTTTCATTCCTTAAATTGTTACTTTCTAAAATAGTTTGACATTGAATTTCATGCTTTTAAACACGAAAAAAAACTGATATTCCACTTCGTCTCTATCTTTTTCGTAGAAAAAAGTTAAAATTTTAGGAAAATAACCGATAGTATTGATCGATTTGAGTACATCATATGTTTCAAATCAATTAGATCAATAACAAAATTAAAAATTTTTCTTACGAACATAGGATAAAAACTAGGTAAGCATTAGTTTCAATCTGAAACGATTTTAATAAAATATTTACAGCTTGACATTGAATTAGATTGGCTGAAATTGAATAATAGCTAATTGGAGATAAAATTGAAACCAAATAACAAAACTATGCTACGATTGACTTCTATACATGTAAGCTAAAATTT